TTCCCATTATCCCGTATGGTCCCCCCCCCGCACCGTCAGGAGTAATTCCTGAGTGCATGAGCCAGGAGTAACCACTGTGCATGTGAGACCCAAAAAGCAAAAAAAAAAAAAAAAAAGGAAAAAAGCCAGAATGTTAAGGTTGGTGCCCCCAAGGCAGACGGAGCAATAGCACAGCAGGTAGGGCATTTGCCTTGCATGTGGCCAACCCAGGTTCGATTCCTCCATGCCTCTTGGAGAGCCCAGCAAGCTACCGAGAGTATCCCACCTACACGGAAGAGCCTGGCAAGCTCCCCATGGCTTATTCAATATGCCAAAAACAGTTACAACAAGTCTCACGATGGAGATGTTACTGGTGCCCGCTCGAGCAAATCAAAGAACAACGGGAGGACAGTGCTACAGTGCTACAGTGCCCCCGAGGTGAGACAGGCCTCTCTCCCCTGCACCTGGTCCCCAGAGGACCCACACCCACGCCCCTGGTGCCTTGGAGGGTCACCTCCTGCCTCCTCCTGTCCCCAGCCCACCCTCCCAACTCCTGCCAAATAGCTGCCTCTGGGGTCCCACAGGTAGGGGACAAGCAGTCCCGGGTAAGACTCAGTGTCAGAGTGGCCAAAGCAAGAGATTGCTCCTATACTGTTTGTGTTTTTTTTTTTAATGAAACTTTATTGTAACAGCGTGATTGACACAGTAGTTCACAATACAGTTTCAGGTACTCAATGTTCCAACACCAATCCCACCACCACGTCACCTTCCCTCCACCAGTATCCCCAGTTTCCCACCCACCCCACCCCCTAAGCCCGCTTCCTCAGCAGGCACAGAATGATTCACTTTATGTAGCTTGCTACAACACTTACCTCATAGCGGCATTACTCAAGTCATTGTCTGAGGATTTACTGGGCTGAGAGGTGCCAGCCGGCCCTCCTGGGTTCTTGTTTTCACTCACTGAGCCCGGTGGGCTTCTACTCAATTTTCCTATCCAGTTTTTCTGTGCTTTTCCTGGGCCGTCAGTGGAGTTTGGAGGTGTCGTGCGGCCACATAGGCTTCAGGAGCTTTGGAACTGGGACCAGAGATCAGCTGTGAAGCGAGGCCACTCTCTGGAAGCAGCGGTGGGGGCTGGATGTGGGTGGGTGGAGCGCAGGGACCCTGTCTGCCCCCGTCCTGCCAAGGCTCCAGAGATCTGAGCCCGGTGGCAACGGGCCGGCCTGGGATAACTCAGCTGCCCGCATCCCTCTGAGATCAGTCCTGAAGAGGGGCCGTTTCTCTGGCAGGGTGCGGGGAGGGCAGACCCTGCACTTTTTTTTTTTAATTTTCATTAGTGAAACACCATGAGGTACACTTGTAGACTTACAAATTTTTGTGCTTGGGGTTCAGTTATACAACGATCGAGTACCCATCCTTCCACCAGTACCCATTTTCCACCACCACGAGTCCCAGTATCCCTCCCACCCCCCATCCCCCCATCCCACCCTGCCTCTATGGCAGGGCACTCCTTTTTGTTCTCTCTCTCCTTTTGGGTGCTGTGGTTTGCAAAAGAGGCATTGAGTGGCAATCATGTTTGGTCTATAGTCTACTTTCAGCATGCACCTCTCATCCTGGGAGGATCCTCCCAACACCCTTTATTTGGTGCTCCCTTCTCTATCTGAGCTACCTTTTCCCCTAGCATGTACAGCTGGCCTTCAAGCCATGGAGTGGACCTCCTGGTACTAATCTCGGCCACTCCTGGGTGTTAGTCTCCCATTTTGTTACTTTATGTCCCCAGATGAATGCAATCTTTCTATGTCTATCCCTCTCTGACTCATTTCGCTTAACATGATACTTTCCATGTAGTACCACTTGTATGTAAATTTCATGACTTCATCTTTTCTAACAGCTGCATAGTACTCCATTGTGTAGATGTACCAAAGTTTCTTTAACCAGTCATTTGGTCTCGGGCACTTGGATTTTTTCCAGATTTTGGCTATTGTGAATAGTCCTGCGCTACTTCTGACATGCTTTACAAACCTCCACACCCCACTGGCCAGCGCTCACAGCCAGCCGGAGCAGTACTCAGGGCTCCAGGTGGGGCCACTGATCAAACCCGAGTCAGCTGCACCCCGGAGCAAGCGCCTCAGCCCTGCTCCACTCCCGCCCTCCCGGCAACTCTGGTCTCACACTGGGAACCTCAACAGCCAGCTGCCCCTCCCAGGACAGTGCCTACCACGCCCGGTGTAAAGGAAGGCTCACCCAGGGGGGCTGTCCCGTACAAGGAAAGTGGTGCTGCAGACCCTTCAACAGAGGCCGCTCACCACAGGGACCCTGAGATGGTGGAAATCACACAGGCCTGGAGGGAGCAGGTCTGCCTCACTGACATGACAATCTGACACATTCTTTACCTTCTCTAAGCCTCAGTTTCCCCCAGTTCCCTGGGAGAACAGACGCCTCAGAGCTAAGCATTAGCTCAACACCGCCATGTCTAACCCCACAAAGAAGAGCTGTAACTGTGACCCCCAACCACACACATGTATAGAAACATACACGCAGAGGCATACATACATGTATATGCACACACACATACACATGCATTAATATATACACTTCTAGACAGGTATATACACATAGACACATGTATGCACAATACGTATATATATTTATACCGCATATACTTGTGCATACAGGTGCACCTACATGAACATATCTGCATGTAGGCAGTCATACATTTACCTGCAAATATGCATATACATCCTGCATGTACATATACATGTTGATGCATACACTCATACATACAGGCACAGACACGTGCATATATACAGACATGTAAAAAATGTCTCATATGCACACGCAAACACATGTACATGTACACCCATCAACACAGAGTCATAACACCTTTGGGGGACAGGACAGCTTGACGTGGGTCCCCAGCTCTCCTTCCCTGGCCTCTCTCAAGGGCCTTTGACAGGATTGTACGGGGACGGCTGCTCCCCGCTGCGGTCAGCCCTGGTGCGGGATGATTCCAGGAGCTGAGCAGAGGCTTGTGCGTCTACAACTGTTCACGGGAGTCAGGGAAATGGCTCAAAGGCTAAGCACATGCTTGGCACACAAGCCTGGGCACAATCCCTGGCATCCCATGGTCTCCTGGGTGACCGGTTATGACTGCCCCCCCCCCAAATAAAAGAACTATTCAGGGGTCAAAGACACAAGACAGCGGGTAAGGCACTTGTACACGGCAAACCGAGGTTAGATCCCTGGCACTTCGTACGGTCTCCTGGGCACTACCAGGAGTAATAAGCCCTGAGCATAGCACAAAGCCAGGAGCAAGCCCTGAGCACTGCCAGCTATGGCCCCAAAACCAAACCAAACCAAACAGAACCATTCACTAGCACGTTCTTTGATTCAAATCAGCTCAAACCCCACCCCAAGAGACCAGGAGGTCTCTTAGAACACGTGACCATATATCCCTACAAGGGCACGTGCTTCCGGCCCAGCTGGAGCCCGGGGTGCAGGGACACCCCCAGGCCGTGGCCCCGCGCACCCACCACTCAGCTCACTCCCACACTCTCAGGACAGGTCTCCCGCGAGACCAGGGGCCCGGGATGCTGCATCAGCTGCCCTCCCTGGGAACTGGCCTCTTTCCAGATGACTCCAGCAGAAGACCCAGGCAGGTATAGGCTAGGCTGCAACGGGTCTGGGGAGCATCCCCCCTTTGCCCTTGCCACAGAGACAGACGGAAGGAACTAGGGATCTGTCCCCCACTCTGTAGTCCCCTTCCACACACCCCTCCTCTTCAGCCCCCTGTCACTGTCACACTGTCCTACCGTTGTTCATCGATTTTCTCGAGCAGGCCCAGTAACATCTCCATTGTGAGACTTGTTGTTACTGTGTTTGGCATATCGAATACGTCACGGGGAGCTTGCCAGGATTTGCCCTGTGGGTGAAATACTCTCGGTAGCTTGCCGCACTCTCCGAGAGGGATGGAGGAATAGAACCCAGCTCAGCCGGGCTGGCTGAGTGCGAGGCAAACGCCCTACCGCTGTGCTATCACTTCAGCCCCCATTGCTAAGAAAAGACTGAGCCCCCATCAGAAATCGTCTGCCATAGAGGCAGGGTGAGGACTGGGATTGGAGGGGTGGGGAATACTGGGGACATTGGTGGTGGAAAATGTGCACTGGTGGAGGGATGGGTATTTGATCATCATATGGCTGAATCTCAAACATAAAAGCTTTGTAACTCACAGTGATTCAATAAAATTTAAAAAAAAAAAGTCCTACTAAAAAAAATTTTAAAAAACCTGAGCCCGGGGCTGGAGCAATAGCACAGTGGGTAGGGTGTTTGCCTTGCACGCAGTCAACCTGGATTCGATTCCCAGCATCCCATATGGTCCCCTGAGCACTGCCAGGAGTAATTCCTGAGTGCATGAGCCAGGAATAACCCCTGTGCATTGCCCGGTGTGACCCAAAAAGATAAAAAAAAAAGCCTGAGCCCCCACCCACTCCCCACTACTCTTCAGGAGTGAGACCCCTCCCCCCACCTCCCAGGGGGTCATCTGTCCAGGCTGGGAGCTGCAGGCAGGACTCCCCTCAGAGCAGGGCTGGAGATAGTGTCACCGTATAAACAAGGCTGCCCTTGGAGAATACAGGCGGGGGGGGGGGGGGGGGGGGACAGGGATGGGGCCCAAATGTCTTGCATGTGTGACACCCCAGGTTCCATCATGCCCGCGTGTCACCCAGCCCACCCCCTGCGCTGGGCATGGGCTGCTCCCCTGCAAAAAAAAAAAATTACATTTTTTTTACAGTAGCCAGCCAGGCTCACACGGGGGCCCCTGAGGCACACCAGGACAGGCAGAGTGGACAGAGCTTTATTGACCCCTGAGAAGAACGTGCGGAGAAGCGTCCCCACTGCCCACTCTGCCCGGCCGCACAGCCTCGAGGCCTCACGGCGGGCCACTCCCCCGGTCTCCCGGAGCCATGGGCCACTTGGGGCCTCACTGGCCAGCACCCGGGGTCCGGAGTCACTGAGTCACTGATCCTGAGGCCAGCGCTGGCCCCTCAGCGGTCCAGATCGAGCGCATCCTGGGTTGCAGTGCGGAGGCCGATGGAAAACAGCTCTTCCCATGGCTCTCGGACCCAGGCCAGCAGGGCGGTCAGCTGCTCTGGGCACACCACACGCAGCGCCCAGAAGCTCTCCCGCCGAGATACCTGCAGAGAGGATGGAGACTCAGGGACAGCCCTCCCGGGCCTTCAGGCTCAGGCATCGCAAACTCAGGGCCACCGTCCTCTTGGGCCCCACGAACTCAGGGGCCAAGCCCCTCCCAGGACCATGCAGAGTCAAGGCCACTGTCCTCCTGGCCCCCGCAGACTCAGGAGCCATCCCCCCTCCGACGCAGCACACAGATTCAGGGGCCACACCCCTCCTGGGCCCTACACACTCAGGGGGCCACGTCCCTCCCAGGACCCTGAAGAATCAGGGCCACCTTCCTCCTGGGCCCCAGCATTTTTTTGGGGGTCACACCCAGCGATGCACAGGGGTTACTCCTGGCTCATGCACTCAGGAATTACTCCTGGCGGTGCTCGAGGGACCATATGGGATGCTGAAGATCGAACCCAGGTCGGCCACATGCAAGGCAAATGCCCTACCCGCTGTACTATGGCTCCAACCCTTTTTATTTCTTCTTTTTGGGTCTGGGCTCCGGCTCTAGCCCTCCACACAAGACAGTGAGTTGGAATTCCCTGGACACACCCCAGTCAGCACCTGCTGCAGGCACCCAGCGACTGTCCCCATTTTCCAGTGGGTTTTAAAAACCCCTATTTCTGGGGGTGGGGGAGACCCCTCTGGACCCAGCTCCGAGGCAGGCTCAGGGTTCAGCTCCCGACTCTCCACGTAGAACCACTGCAGATGGGCAAGCCCCCCCCCCCATGCCTCAGTTTCCTCCTCTGTCATAGAACCAGCAACAGAACTCGCTCATGGAGAAGAGTCCAACACCGGTTCTCAGCCCCAGCCCGGCACAGACATGGGCACAGACACCAGAGCCCGGGCCCAGCTGGATCCACACAAAGGACAGTGCCTCGCTAGAGGCGTCCAGCTCCCCCAAGGGTTCCTGCCGACCTCAGCTGCTGCCCTCTCTGCGTGCTGCCCGGCCAGCCCAACAAGCCTCCCGGTCTCTGTACCCCAAGTCTCTGATCTCCCCCAGACTGCTCATTCTTCTCAGACTCATGACACCTGGACACACACTCCCACGCTCTCATACACTCACATGCACACACACCTGCATACATACACTAGCGCGTGCACGTGCACATGCACACTCATACACCCACAAGTGCACACGCTCATATACCCTCACATGTACACACTCACACACTCACACACTCTCATATATACCCTCACATGCACTCTCTCCCTCTCATATACCCACACATGCACATGCACACACACTCTCATACACACTCATACACTCTCACATACTCACACATGCACACTCACACACCCACACGCCATCATATACTCACAGTGCACACTCTCATATGCTCTCACATGCACTCCCAGTCCCGCACACACCCTCATGCATGCTCTGAAACACCCACAAATACACACACACACATTCATACACGCACCTGCATACATACCCTAGTGCGTGCACATGCACGTGCACACTCATACCCCCACAAGTGCACACGCTCATATACCCGCACACGCACACACTCACTCACACTCATATACCCGCACATGGACACTCACACTCTCATACACATTCACACACTCCCACGTACACTCACATGCACACTCTCATATACCCTCACATGCACACACTGACACTCATACACTCTCATATATACCCTCACATGCACACTCACACACCCTCATACACCCGTACACCCTCATTGACCCACACATGCACACTCTCATAGACTCTCGCGTGCACTCACACCCCCGCAAAAACACCCTCATGCATACTTGGATACACCCACAAGTACACACTCACGCACACGTTCGTCCACACACTCAGGCATGCAAGCACACAATCACACATGCACATGTGCGTGCACACACACACACACACACAAGAACCCTGCACATGCGGACACACAGGCACACGCGACACAGGCTCGTGCACTCGCCCAGGCACACCCGCCCGCACCTCGTCGTAGAAGATGAGCCGCAGGTCCTGGGGCGCCGAGCGGTACAGCAGCACGGAGCTCAGGCTGCTGAGTGGCTGCTGCTCCCGGACCAGCACGGACAGCGCCGGGCCCGAGGGTGGGGCCTCCTCGCAGGCTTCGGGGGCAGCCGGGAGAGGGGACTCAGCTGGGGGCCCCGCGGGCTCCTCCTCCAGCAGGTAGAGGATGGACAGCGTCAGCAGCAGGGACACGGGGCGGGTGGCGGGGCCTAGCGGGGAAGAGAGGGGTTGGGAGCGGCCTGGAGTGGACGGCGGCGGGAGCCCCCCTGCCCGGGTATCGGGGACCCCAGAGCCACCCAGGCCCCCGGGGCTACCACCCCAGATTCTGAGTCCAGGAACCTGCCCACCACCCGCCCTGCTCAGAAAGCAGCTCTGCCCCTGCCGTCTCCCTGGGGGCGTGTGGGGCAGAAGCAGTGACCAATCGATTGCTCAACTCATGGATCGGGAAATCAGAGCAAAGGCCTCAGGGCCGTGGGCACACCAGAGCGACCTAAGACCTGGCTGGCCCGGACTGTGCCCTCGAGGGCGCAGGTCTCTAAAGGGGCACCGAGGGCTCGGGACAGGGGGGCTTCACAGGCCTCACCTTCCACCAGGAACACCCGGAGGTAGAAGAACGGGGGCGGCTCTGAGGAAGAGTCTCTCTCCAGCAGAGGCCTGCGGGAAGGATTGTCAAGGAAGGGGTGTGGGGCCCCAGGGGGTGGTGGGAGGGGCACAGCCTGGGCAGAGATGTGGGCATAGCAAGATCCGGCCCTGAGGCCTTGATTTGGTTTCTTTTTTTTTCTTGTGGGGGGGGAGAGAAAATAGTCTCCCCAAAAAGTGCTCAGGAGTCCTGGGGACCACAAAAGCGCTCAGGAATCCTGGAGGGGCCTCTCCCCGGCCAACACAGCTGATGCTTCAATGCATGGGCCTGAGGATGCCGGCAAGACCTTCCAGGACCCTAGGGTGCTGCAGTTTTGGGATGGAGTGGGGGGCCACTGGGTGGAGAATCAAACTAGGGTGAGCCACACGCCAGGCGAGAGCCTCACCCCCAGCCCTCCCGCAGTGTTCGCTCTCGGCCCCCCGCTGGGGCCTGTGCTCCTGGCACTCACCAGAGGCGGTGCTCGGGGGTCACCTTCTCCTCTGAGGCGCGGACCCCGCTCCTCCGAGGTGGGGGCAGGGCCTGCAGGACGTCTGTGAGGGCAGAGACCCACCAAGCTTCCTCTCTGGCCCTACCCCTCCCCTCTCCCCCCTCCCGGGTACCTGAGACCCCCGCCCTGCAGTCTGGAGGACCCCCCCCCCTCCTGGCACCCCCTCTCACCCGTGAGCGCCGCCAGGAAGGCCCGGCAGCACTTGGCGTCCCGGGGTAGCAGCACGCAGCCACCTGCACCCGCCGCCCACTCCAGCCGCAGGCTCTGGCCGGCCAGGCCCAGCTCCACGGTGCTCAGCTCTTGCAGGGGTACGGCCAGGGTGCAGCGCAACCAGCCAGCAGGGGGCCCGCTGTGGGGGGTGGGGAGGGAGTGAGACCAGGAGGCCCTGGGGGCGGGGCAGGGGGAACCCCACAACCCTGCCCCTGCCCCCCCCCCCACACACACACACTCACCTACCTACCTCATCTCCCCTGTCACCTCCAGCACATAGAGACTGTGATCAGACACAACCACGACACACGGACACTCCCCAGGGCGGCCAGCCACCACCACGGGCACCTGAGGGGGGCACAGAGGGGTGGAGGGCACTCGGCAGAGTCACCCAGCCTGGCACCCCAACCAGGCACCCCTGCGCCCTGACCACCTCATGCGCCCTCAACTCCCAGACTGCAGGGGACCTCCCCACTCCATTGCCCCCCGACTCCTCAGCGGTCCCCCAAGCCTCAGGGAGACCCCATGCTAATACACAAGGCTCGAACCCGACCCGGACGCGTCCGAGACATACATCTGTGTGTGTCTGACACCCCTATTCCTGGCCTCCCACCCCATACCCCAGCCAGGTGAGTTCTCCCCGCAGGACCCCACTTCTGCCACACCCCTGGGGCCCCTCTCGTGACTCAGGCTCAGAAAGCGGGTGCACCCGCTGGCCTCCCTAACGCCCCCAAGGGGGCTTCCTGGACGTTCCCTGGCCAGCAGGTCAGGGCAAGACTGGGCTCACCCCAGCCCACGGGGGCTCCAGCGAGCAGGTGTCAGGACCCGGGGCCCGGCGGGGGGAATGCTGACCCAGAGACCAAGGGTCTCCCAAGGCAATCCCCCCGCCCGGGTACCCTCGGGCGCTGGGGTGGGGTGGGCGCACACCTTGATGTGGCACTGGAACTCCTCCTGGGCGCCCGTGAACACCTCCACGTCCAGGAAGAGCCGCAGGCGGTGGTCCACAGAGCAGAGGGCAGAGCGCTCGGGAGCTGGGAGCCCACGGTGGGCGGCGGAGGGAGGTGGTCACGGAGGGCGGGGGGGCCCATCACAGCCCCCCCCAAGCCCCTGCCACGACTGTCCCGCCTCACCCACACTTACCAGGGCTGAGGTTCCAGCTGTGGGGGTCCTGGGAGGCTGGGGTCGGAGACGGGGTGCTGCTGGCCACGGGGCCATCAGCACAGTGGTCAGGCACGTCCTGGGCGGGGCTGGGGGGCCGCGGGGTTGCAGGCCGGGCCAGGAGGACCACATGGTCGCTCCCACAGCTCGGACACACCACCGGGAGGTCTGGGGAGGGTGAGAGGGACAGGGCCCGTGATCGTCCCCCTCACAGATCCTGCGCCAGCTCTGAACCCCACCCAGCCCACATGTCCAGATCCCCCCACACTCACCCTCACTCCCACCCCAGCCACAGCCCCCTGCTGACGCCCCCACTCAAAAGCTTCCAGGAAGGCGCTCTGAGGTCTCTTCCTCCACCAGGACCCTCCTTCATCCAGGGGATGGGGGTGGGGGGGTTCTTCCATGATGCCCCCGGAGCCAGAGACTAGGAGCAGGGCAGAGGCCGGGCCAAGAGGGCCCCCAAGTTCCATCCAGGCTGTGGGCTCTGTGCCCGGCTCCCCAGTGACACGGGGTGATGAGAATGTCCCTCTGTGGCGTGGCCGGGATGGGCACGGCCAGGACAGACATGGGCACTCAGGGAGAGTGGCCAGAAGTGGGGAAGGGGGGGGTGTCTCCCTGCCTTTGTGCAGAGGATAGAGGGTGACATTCATCACTCATCGCTGACACACAGCCCAGCGACCCCCTGGCAGCTGTCACCGAGCCCCTTCACCTGACCCGGGGCTGGGCTCCAGGCTGCGGGCTCTCTGCTCTGAGCTCAGGGTCTGGGTTTTCTTCAATATTTTGCTCTTTTATTTGGTTTTGGTTTTGAGCACCCACCGAGGCTCAAGGACTACTGGCTCTGCCCTCAAGAATCACTCCTGGAGGTGCTCAGGGGACCCTATGGGATGCCGGGGATCGAACCTGGATCATCTGTGTGCAAAGCAAACGCCCTCCCTGCTGTCCTCTCGCTCCAGTCCAAGTTTCTAGGTTTTCTGGACACTGAACTCTCCTCACAGCGCGATGGGGACAACCCCGTTTTCTACTCAAACTGGGGTGCTGGAGCAATAACACAGTGGGTAGGGCATTCGCCTTGCACGCGGCTAACCCAGGTTCGATTCCCAGCATTCCATATGGTCCCCTGAGCACCACCAGGAGTAATTCCTGAGTGTAAAGCCAGGAATAACCTCTGTGCATCACCAGGTGTGACCCTGGAAAGAGGATGCAGATGACACAGAAATGGCCGGTGACAATGCCAATGCCCGAGAGCAGGCAGGGCCACAAGGACCCCTCCCCCCACCCTGGGACACAGATGAGGTCGTGGGCCGGGTGAAGTGGGGACATGAGAACCCAATTCCCACCTCTGTCCTGGTGCTGTCATCGAGGGAAGGTGACCCAGCTATACATGCTTCCACACGAGCCTCACAGCCCTGCTCTCTGCAGGCTCTGATGGGTTCAGGGGGAACACCCGCCCCACCCCAGCACAATGGCCCACAGGGCCCATTGAGCGCCCTGGCCAGGGTCAGGCCCACAAGGATCATACTGGGTCTCCAGGGGTGAGCGATGGGGGCCCCAAACAGATCATCCCCAGGGTCACTGGGCTTGGGTCACTTCTGAAAAATTAGCCAAAGAGGAGGGGCCTCCCAGTGATAAAAGAAAATAACAACAACAACAGTGTAAGGGCCAGAGAGATAGTATAGGCTCAGGGGCTTGCTTTGCACCCCGCTGACCCCAATTCTAATCCCCTGGCACTGCCGAGGGTCCCCGGAGCACCTCCCGGAGCGATCCCTGAGCACAGAGCCAGGAGTAGTCCCTAAGCACTGCTGAGTGTGCCCTCCACACTCCTGCACCAATAATAAAAAAAAACTTTTTTTTCCCTTTCTGGGTCACACCCGGCAATGCACAGGAGTTACTCCTGCTTTATGCATACTCCTGGTGGTGCTTGGGGGACCATATCGGATGCTGGGAATCGAACCTAGGTAGGCTTCGTGCAAGGCAAACGCCCTACCCGCTGTGCTATTGTTCCAGCCCCTCCCCCCCCTTGTTTTTTTAGCTTTTTGGATCACAGCCGGCGATGCACTGGGTTACTCCTGACTCATGTACTCAGGAATTACTCCTGGCGGTGCTCAGGGGACCACATGGGATGCTGGGAATTGAACTGGGTCAGCCGTGTGCAAGGCAAACACCCTCCCCACTGTGCTATCACTCCAGATCCAAAACCCACTTCTTACTGTAACGAATATGGTTAAACACAGAGATGATGTTTCCTGGGGGAGGGCTCCTCCACCCCCCACCCCCTGCATGCTCCCACCCTCCGGCCGCGCGCTCTGAGTGACACACACCTGCCTTCTGGGACGGAGGGGCCCGGCCCTCCCCACTGCCCAGCTGCTCGGCGCTAAACTCGTGTCCACACCGCAGGCACTGGAGGCGGCCCCTGGGCAGGCCCCGCGTCTCCCCGAGCTGGCGCTGTGCTGCCGTCGTGACCGCTGGGGCCAGCACAGCCAGCAGCTCCTGAACCGGGCCGGACCAGGGGATTGCGGTGAACAGGGGCACCCCGCCCACCCTCGGCCTGTCCCGACCCTCCCAGGGCCCCACCCGGCCTCACCTGGATGGCAGCGTGGGCGTCGGGCTCCAGGACCACATAGCGCCGCAGGTGCCGGGCAGGAGAGAGGTAGGAGAAGCGCAGAGCCAGCACAGGGGGCCTGGGGGGAGGCCCAGAGCCCTGCGAGGGGTGGAGGCAATGGGGGTGGAGGGCGGGACAGGGCGAGAGGCTGGGACCAGGGACCAGAGGAGCCCAGTCCAGCCTCTGCCCACGCACCTGCTCTGAGATGCTCAAGTCCACCCTCTCTGTCCACGGCCATCCACATGGTTACCCACAGGTGCCCAGTCTGGCCTCTCCGTTCATGGCCATCCATACACCCGCCCAGAGGCGCCCAGTCCAGCCTCTGTCCACACGCCTGCCCAGAGGTGCTCAAGTCCACCCTCTGTCCATGGCCATCCACATGGTCACCCAGAGGTGCCCAGTCCAGCCTCTGTCCATGGGCATCCAGGTGCCCAGAGGTGCCCTATTCCAGTCTCTCCGTCCACACCCGCCTGGGCCTCAGTGTCATGGGCCCAGACCTGGGCAGTCACAATGGGTGGAGCCTTCAGTCGTGGCCCCGGCAGCCCTGGGACCCTGCCTGGCACCCACCTCGGGCCTGGGTTCCAGTTCTGGTTCTGGTTCGGGTTCAGGCTCCAGCTCGGCCGCCTCTAGACTGCCCAGCTCCAGCCGCTCTAGGACCCGGGCCGCCCGCAGCTCCACCTCCAACAGGTGGCCCGAGGTGACCCGCAGGAAGCGCTCGGAGCCCCGAGCCCCCCGGGGCCCCTCCAGGGGGCACACCAGGACGGGGCGGCACAGCTCGGCTGGAGAGAAATGAGGGGGGCCGTGGGGAGGGCGGGCACGCCAGACTGCCCACTTCCGGGGGCCACCCGCCTGCCCTTTGGGGCGGTTCCTCTCCCTACACACCCCACTGGGCGCCCCCCCAAGCTCACCTTCCCCCTCACTCAGCTCCTCCTCCTCCTCCTCCTCTTCCTCTTCTTCTTCCTCCTCTTCCTCTTCCTCTTCCTCCCCCTCCTCCTCCTGTTCCTCCTCTCCCTGGGGCTCCCGCTGAACCCCAGGTCCCCCAGCTGGGTCCCGCGAGGTCTCCGCAGGGGGTGCGGGTCCAGGCAGCGGAGGCGCGGGGCCAGGGCTGTCTGGGGGCAGCGGGCTGGGGTCCTGCCCAGGGCGGCCCGGGCTCTCCAGCTGGCTCCGGTACTGCAGCCAGTCCCGGCCGAAGCGCTCCCGAAAGCTGTTCATAAGCTCCAGCTCCCGGTGCTGCTGTGCGAACCAGCCTGGGGGGGAAAGAGGGGGGCTTCTCAGCTGAGCCCTAAACGGACAGTTTAGGGGTCTCTCTGGCTATCAGTGACAGGGCCCGGGAGGTGGGTCCTTCCTCTATCCCAAGTGGTACTGCCCACCCCTGCCCAACAGCCCCCCCATAGCAGTTACCCCAAAAAAAAACCCTCCAGCAAAAAAAAAAAAATTTGGTATTTTCGGTCACACCCGGTAAGGTTACACCTGGCTCTGCGCTCAGGAATCACTCCTGGCGGTGCTCACTCAGGGGACCATATGGGATGCCGGGGATCGAACCCGGGTCGGCTGCGTGCAAGGCAAACGCCCTCCACGCTGTGCAATCGCTCTGGCCCCCTCCGGCAGTCTCTTCTCTCATCCCAGCCCCAGAGGGAAGAGGAGCTACAAAGAGGCCCCCTGCCCTGCATTCTCCTCACCCCCAATACCAACTCCTCCATGCCCCCCCGGCCCGCTTCCGGGAGCTGTGGGCTGGGGAGACAGGGTGGACGCACCGGCCGGGGACGGGTCCAGGGTGCGGGGCTCGGGGTCGGTGTCACTGGGCTCGGAGATACTCGCCCTCCTCACTCGCACCCGGGTCTGGGGGGGAAGAGGGCACAGAAGGGGATGTCACGAGCCAGGACCCCCCACCCCCCAGTCCCGCCCGCTGATGCCCCTCCGACAGGGACAGCCCTTGGCCACCCGGAGCCTGAGACCACGGTCACCTTGGCCTTCCGGAGTGGGGGTGCGGGCCCTGAAGAGGGGCTGTCACTCAGGTCGGCGCCGGCGGAGGTCTCGGTGGCGCTCCCCAGCGGCCAGGATCCAGCCGGGGTGGCGGGGCCCAGCTCCGAGGAGGTGGAGGCCTGGAAGAGGGGCGAGGCGGGGGGCATACTGCCAAGAGGCCCCGGGCAGGAGGACACCCTCACAGCCCCCCAGATCCCCCCCGACACCCCCACTCACCTGGAGGTTGCTGAGCGTCAAGACCTCGCCGTCCAGAAGGAACTGCCCGGACAAAAGCGACGGTGCGTGTTGGGGGACAGCGGGGAATTGGTGGGGGAGGGGGGGACCGGGGGGAACTGTGGGCTGGAATGGGCCATTTGGGAGATGACTCACGCCCGATGCAGCATCCCGGGCACGTGGCGACAGGTAGCGAGCGGTGGCCGCCCGGTGGGCAGGGTGGAAGGACAAGGGGTTGCCCTCCAGGTAGAGCTGGCGGGGGACAGCGGGAAGAGGAGGTGAGGCGGGCTCTGGGCGAGGGAGGGGGGTTCCTGGGGGGTAGGGGGGACAGGGTGGGGCCGCACCTTTTGCAGCTCGGACAGCAGCCGCAGCGGGCCCAGCTCCCTGTGGGCCTCCAGCAGGTTGAAGGCCACATCCAGGTGCCGCAGCTGCTGCAGCTGCTCCAGGCCTGAAGAGGGGGAGAGAGGGGGTGTGTGGGTCAGAGGGAGGGGGCATGGGGAGGGGGCGCGGGGAGGGACCCTCTGTCCCGCCTCACCGTGCAGGCTCTGCAGCTCGTTGCCCCGCAGGATCAGGGTCCCCAGCGCAGCCTTCGAGGGACCCATTCTGGGCACGAAGAGCAAGTGGTTGTAGGAGACGTCCAGGTGGCAGAGTTCCGACAGGTCCTGGGGGAGCGAGGTGGGGGTTGGACTTTCATGACCAAACGCCCGCAGACGCCTCTGGAAACGCCCCCTCTTTATGTTTCGGTTATGTGGGGTCACACCCGGCGATGCTCAGGGGTTCCTCCTGGATCTACACCAGGAATTACTCCCGGCGGTGCTTGGGGGACCATCAGGGGATGCCAGGGACTGAACTCAGGTCAGCCGCCTGCAAGGCCCTCCCCGCTGGCCTATGGCTCCGGCCCCCATATCTACGGTCCCAAGCCCCGCCAGGAGTGATCGCCGAGAACACAGAGCCAGGAGTAAGCCCTGAGTACTGCCGGGTATGGCCCCCCAAAACAAAACAGTCACTTTGGCACCCCATTAGGGGCGGGGCGGGGAGAGAAACTAACCCCCCCACCACCACCACCATGACGTTAGGACTTGGCCCGTGAGCCCCATGTGTGCCATTGCCAGAGCCGAGTCCTGTATCCCGGCAGCCCCCCACCCGGGGGACCCAGGCCCTGCACACCCTCAGGTGGCCCTCGCAGTCCTGCACTCGGTTGTGGCTGAGGTTCAGGAAGCGCAAAGCTGACAGGAGACCCTGCAGGGGGGGGGAGGAGAAAGTGGAATGGCAGATGCTGCATCCCCACCCTCACGAGGGGAGGCCCGGGCCCCTACCCCCGCCACCCCGGCCCCACACCCCAGCCCTCACCAGGGAGCTGTCCAGGGCTCTGAGTTCATTATAGCTGAAGTCAGCGGACAGCAGAGACAGCCAGGGTAGGGCCGAGCACAGGTCGCCGCCACAGGAGGAGAGGAGGTCCTGGTGGGGACAGAGGGGTGCCCTGGGAACACCAAGCCCCCTCCACTCCCTGCAAGGCCTCCCCCACCACACACACACAGGCATGCACACACACAGGCACATACATGTACACACACACGCACATACATGTACTCACACGCAACACACACAAACACGCACTCACACAAACATGCACACACGCACACGTGCACAAACATGCACTCACATACACAAACATACACACACACACACGAGTACACACATACACACGGTCACTGCCCGGCTAGCCACTCATTCCAGGCGGTTCAATCTGGCCACGGCTAACTCCAAACAAGCCCAGGGAGCTCCCTGGAGTGCGACCATGGAAAAACCCCTGAACTCTGACCAGCACGTGGTCCAGGCCAACCTAACTACAGTGGTTGAGCCTGAGTTCCCACGAAGCCAGCAGGAACAGTTGGGGGGGGAGAGGATGGGGATCAACACCTCTGACCACCTCCGTTTCAGAGGGGGAGTAAATCACTCAGCGGACACCCCTGGAAATCGACCTTTTTCTTTTTGGAGAACAGTGTCCCTGCGTGTGGCTGCCGCGGGAGGGTGACCATCGCCTCTGGGGTAGTTTCAGGGCCCACCGCCAGGGGGCGGGCAGCAGCGCTCAGCCCGGCGCAGGCTCACCTCTAGGGCCTGCAGGCTCCGGCTGCAGATGACCGTCTCCAGCTGCGAGTAGATGCCGCGGAGGCCGTGCAGGCGGTGGAGGGGGACACCTCGGAGCTGACCGGAGCAGAGAGGAGGGCGGAGAGGGAGAGGAGACACAGCCCCATTGCAACTCCCCACACAGAGGCCTCCCTCCGCGGCTCAGCAAAGCGTGGGAGCGCCAAGCCCTGTGCAGAGGTGCCCCCTCTCTCCCCTGACACCCACCCACACCAGTGACTTCTGCAAACGCACACCCGCGAGGCCCCATACCTCCAACGTGCGCAGGGACTTGAAAGGGAAAATCTTGATGGGTGCAGGGAGGCCAGGACCTGGGATGTGAACCAACTACAAGACAAACGCCCAGATTATAGGGGTCTCCCCCCACAACCCACATCACACACACATACACACACACACACACACACACACACACACACACACACACACACACACACTTCTGTTTTGGCGCAGCCGCCCGGAGCTCCCAGGGCCCTGCCCATGTCTTGCCCCCTCCCCCACCTCCCCCTTGGGCTCTGTCTATACCCTGCCCCAGTCACCCCCAGAACCTTGAGAGACAGGGTCCTCTGCAGCACATCGAAGAGGAACTGCAGCTGGAGGATGATGGGGGAGTCGGCGGGGTGGGAGGGCAGCGCCACGAAGCCCGTCTGCCCCGGGCCCCAGGGCCCCAGGTACAGCTCAAACACATGGCTGAGCTGCTGCAGGGTGTTGGTCAGTAGGCACAGGGTGCTGCAGCCGGACAGGACCACGTCCCCTGCGGGGAGAGCGGTGGGTGAGGCAGGAGCACACCACACGGCTCGCGACCCACCCGGGGAAGGAAAGTCGGTCTGCTCTCCGTCTTCATTTTTCTGGTGGCCAAAATAATGGGCATACTAAGAGGAAAAAAAAGAATCTTGAGGGGTCGGGCCATAACCAGCTATGCTCAGGGCTCACTCCGGGCTCTGTGCTCAGGGATGACTCCTGGAGAGGCACGGGGGACCATATGGGGTGCCAGGGACCGACCCCAGGCTGACTGCATACAAGACAAGCGCCCTACAATCAGTTCTATCACTCCAGCCTAACCCCCACACACACCCCTTCCCAACACACACACACACACACACACATGCACATGCTTTTTAAAAAAATACAGTAAAGGGGCTGGAGCGATAGCACAGCAGATAGGGTGTTTGCCTTGCATGCGGCCGACCCGGGTTCGAATCCCAGTATCCCATATGGTCCCCTGAGCACTGCCAGGAGTAACTGCTGAGTGCAGAGTCAGGAGTAACCCCTGAGCATCGCAAGGTGTGACCCAAAAAGGTAAAAGGTAAAGGCCCTCCCGTTGATCGTCGATTTGCTCGAGTGGGCCCAGTAACGTCTCCATTGGAGACTTTGTTGTTACTGTGTTAGGCATATCGAGTACATCATGGGGAGCTTGCCAGGCTCTGCCGTGTGGGCAAGAAACTCTCGGTAGCTTGCCGGGCTCTCCGAGAGGGGCGGAGGAATCGAACTCGGGTCGGCCATGTTGGCTGCGTGCAAGGCAAACGCCCTACCGCTGTGCTATCGCTCCAGCACATATACTAAAATTAGAACGACACAGAGAAGATTAGCATGACCCAAAAAGCAAATAAATAAATAAATAAATAACTGTCACTGTCCTCCCGATGTTCATCGATTTGCTCGAGTGGGCCCAGTAACGTTTCCATTATGACACTTGTTACTGTGTTTGGCATATCGAATACATCACGGGAGCTTGCCAGGCTTTGCTGTGCGGGCGAGATACTCTTGGTAGCTTGCCGGGCTCTCCCGAGAGGGTCAGAGGAATCGAACTCGGGTCAGCCATGTTGGTCACTTGCAAGGCAAACGCCCTACCCACTGTGCTATTGCTTCAGCCCAAATAAATAAATAAAAATAAAAAATAATAGTGAAGTGATGGGGCGGAGAGAGAGAACAGTAGGTAGGCCTAACCCAGCTTCAATCCCTGGCATTCCAGATGGTCCCTTAGTCCCTCCAAGAGTGATCCCTGAATGCAAAGCTCTGAGTACACCCTGAGCACTGCCAGTTAGGACTCAAAAACAAAATTTAAAAAATTCTCTCCGATGAGACTGACATCCCTTTCGGGCGGATGGGTGACGGGAGAAAAGCCCACACTCCGAGTTGTACTCTGGGGCAACTCTTGCTTCTGTGCTCAAGAGTGACTCCCAGCTGTGCTTGGGGGACTGTACGCAAGTGTCTGGAAGTGACTGAGGGATGCTTTTGGTCCCCTAAACTCATCACAGTCTCTAAAGAAGTGTGATGACAAAAAGGCATAGAAAAAAATGTTCTAAAACTTTTTAAGAATCGAGGACCTGAGAAATAATATCCCGAGTAAGGTGCCTGCCTTGCACACGGCCGGCCCCGGTTTCACGCCTCGCACTACATAGGAGTCCTGAGTACACCAGGAGTGATCCTTGAGCACGAACAGAACAGAGAACTAGCCTACGCCCTGCATCCAGTGTCACCCCCCCTCACCAGTGACATTTGATAAAAGTTTGGCAGCAGCACAGCAGGAAATTGACATTAGTATACGTATACAGCTGCCCTCTGTGAAGCTTCCTGTAACCACCACTATAATCAACGTGCCTGTAGTCACACCACGCCAGCCACCATGGCCAGCTTTATCTCTAATCCCTAAATCACATCAGATTTTTTTAGAGGGGTGTTGGGGATTAAATTCAGGACCTTTCAGATGCAAACTATGAGCTTCAGCCACATCCCTGTCCCAAGTGCGGATTTCTGCCAAACAGATAAATAACCCTGCACCCTTACATGAAGGAAGTTCTATGCAGTAGACATCGGTGAGATACTGACAAGAATCAAGGGCTCTTCCCACCCTCAGAGAGTCTCCCAGCCTAGAAGAGGCGATGAGACCAATGCACAGCTTGTAACGTAAGCCAGAAAGGCAGAGTGCTGGAATGAGCCATGCCACAGATACCATCAGGGAGTGCGGAGTGATGGAAGACAGCTAGCATTCACGGGGTGATACGTGCCAGGCAACCGTTATCTCACTTCAACCTTATCAGAATCGACTAATGAAAAGCCCTATTAACTAAAGAGACGGAAATGGGGGCTCAGTAAAATCTTGATTGAGACCCTATAGCAGGGAGGAAGTTTTTACTTTTATGTGATCACAAAGCCAAGAGACTTGTTCTAATCGCAACTAAGAGCAATCGCATATTCAACCACTACTGGGGGCTCTGGTGGGCCCAGGCACTGAGGGAAGGAAAGACAGTAACAGTTACTAACCCTGAGCACCTGTCTGCATACAGACACTTGCTACATGCTTTCTATGACTCACAACTAATCCCTGTAACACACTTGTTATTAAGTACAATTGCCCCGTGCCAGTCTCCTGATGAGAAAGACAGTCTCAGAAAATTAAACTTGGCCAGGTTTGAAAAAGAACTGGGATTTCAGGGGCTGGAGAGACAGTACAGCAGGTAAGGCGCTTGCTTTCCCTGCTCCCAACCCGGGTTCGATTCCCGGGATCCCGTATGGTCCTCCAAGCACCACCAGGAGTTAATTCCTGAGTGCAGAACCAGGAGTAACCCCTGAGCACCATTGGGTGTGACCCAGGAACTAAAAAAGAAAACAAAGGGGGAAAAAAATCGGAAATTTCAAACCAGGTGGGCTTAACTTCAAACTTTTAGTGGGGTTTTGTTTTTCTGTTTCGGTTTTTGGGATATACCAGGGTTTACTCTTGGCTCTGTGCTCAGGTGAGCATTTGCAGTGCTCAGGAGGTAGGGATCGAACCCCGGCTGGCCACAATGCAAGGTAAACGCTTTACCCGGATCAGACACAGCAAACCTCCTGTTTTTCAGTTGTGCAAAGTGCCTTGCTACACAACAAGGATTATAATAGTCCCCGGCTTTCAGGCAGGATCACATTCCTCTGAAAGTGGCAGTGAAGTCTAAATCAGTAGAAGCACTGACTTTTAGCATTCCAGAGATGGCTAAGGTTTTGATTAACAGAGACACGGGTCAGAGAGCAGCTGAACGCTGTGTTTAGGACTTGAGGTCGGGGTTCCATCCCCCACACGAGACACTTTCCAAGTACTGTTGGGCAGTAATCCCCAAGGAGTAGCATTACTCCCACCCATCCCCTCCTCCATGAACCCTCAGGGTGAAACTCAAAACCAAATGAAAAATGCACAAAAATAAATAAATAAATAAAGATAAGGACGAAGGCCACCCAGCAGATCTTAGCAAAACAGCCCCAGGTCGAAATAAAGCAATTAAATCTTTGACGCTGAAACCCGTCACTCTTAAGGGGGCGTGTCTCTGGGACGTAGGAAGAGACTCCCACATTCCGCGGCCCCCCCACCCCGCCCCCCAGCCGGAAGTTCACTCACCCGACTCCCGCAGCAGCCCGGCCAGCTGCCACACCAGGGAGTCCCGCGGGCCGGTCGTCATGACAACGGGACGCCGGGGGGCGGAGCCTGGGGAAGAGGAGGAAGCGGAAGAGCCTCAGGTGGGCGGTAGCGCCGAAAGTCCGAGACTTCCGCGCACAACCGACGCCTCGCGAGGAGAACCGGGCAAGAAAGAAAGCGAGGAAGAGCATCCTCCGGGGCTCTGCCGAGAGGCACAGGCCACTGATACTGACCCCGCTACGCGTCCTCCTACCAGCTCGGCAGCAGCAGCCTGTCAAAGACGTACAGGAAGTCCCGCCCCGGAAGGGAGGGGCGTCGGAAGGACGACCGGAAGACACGCCTCCGTGGCGGAAAGCCACGCCCCTGGAGGCGGGGTCGGAGGCGGTACCCAGGAGTCTGAGCATCCTGAGCATGCACAGAGCCCCCGAGCTGGGCCTCCCATCTCCCATCCCCGCTACCCGACAGTGGGCCCCTCGCCGCCGTCCACCCGCCGCCTCTCCCGACCAATGAGGGAAGCCTGGCTTCTTGTTTGCAGTCTTGGGCGGGGAAACAAGAGTTGGAGGAGATTTTCTGTAAGAGAAAGATTATTTTTTTCCAATGAAAGGAAAGTTTGTCCGCCTGGGGAAGAAACTTTTCGAAAAACCGTGTGAAAAAGGGTTGCGGCGGCCTAGGAAGTCAAGTACCTGTTGGTGCTTTTTTTTTTTTTTTCTTGTTTTTCTTAACCTCCCTGGAGATTCGCTTTATTTTTTTTTTTCCCCAACATTAGCTCCCTTTAAAGTTCGGTAAATGCTGCTCGTGCCCTTGGGCTTTCACTGCGTTTCGTCTCGGAACACAGATTCTAAGTTATTCCTCCAGGACTGGAAAAAAGAAAACAGGTTTTTTGGCGCCAGGTGACTTGGAAGGCCATTGAATCAGTAATCTCGGGTACCCTGGTTCAAGTTGCCACCGCAAGTCTCACCAGGCTCGGGCAAAGAAGGGTGGCAAGGGAAAAGAGCTAGCAGCAAGCTGCTTTTCTGAGGGGGGATGTTGGTTGGGTTGAGTTTTGTTTTGTTTTGATCACTGTGGCCCTTATCTCAATGTGTGCAAGGGCTGGAAGAGATAGCACAGCAGGTAAGGTGCTTGCCTTGCATGCTGCTGACCCAAATTCCATACCCCAGCACCACATCTGGACCTCTCCGCCCTCTGGGAGTGACCCATGACCAAAAGGTGTGACTCCAACACAAAAACAAATATATATTCTAAGCCATTGGAGAGTGAAATGATTTCATTCTTACTGAAGACTTGCAAACTTTGAAAAGTTTTTTTTGTTGTTTTTGTTTGGGGGTCACGCCTGGCTGTGCTCAGGGCTTACTCCTGGTTTCCCACTCAGAGATCACTCCTGGTGGGACTCAGAACCATATGAGGTGCCACTTGCAAGACAAACCTCCTTCCTGCTGTGCTATGGCTCAGGCCCTCTGAAAAGCTCTTATTTCTAAATACAAAATACTTCATTGACACAGCCCTCCCTGCACCTAAACCACAAAAATATAGCATATGTGGCAGAGGCGGGTGTGATTTGAGCCTAACACCTAAAAAGCAGTTTTTAAAAATCGTGGGTTTTTTTAAATTTTTATTAGTGAAACACCATGAGGTACAGTTGCAGACTTACAAATTTTTGTGCTTGGGTTTCAATTATACAATGATTGAGTACCCATCCCTCCACCAGTGCCCATTCTCCACCTCCAATGCCCCCAGTATCCCTCCCACCCCCCATCCCTCCCATCCCACCCTGCCTCTGTAGCAGGGCATTCCCTTTTGTTCTCTCTCTCCTTCTGGGTGCTGTGGTTTGCAATGAGTGGCAAACAGGTTCGATCTATAGTCTACTTTCAGCATGCATCTCTCATCCTGGGAGGATCCTCCCAACACCCTTTTAATTTGGTGCTCCCTTCTCTATCTGAGCTGCCTTTTCCCCTAGCGTGTGCGGCTGACCTCCAAGCCATGGAGTAAGCCTCCTGGTACTTAGCTATTCTTGGGTGTTAACGTTTTTAAAAATCTATGGAAGCAGGTAGGGAAGACAGTAGCATGTGGCATAGGAGTGGCAGCTTCCAGGGTGGTGGATGAAGGGTTCCAGGCTGAGTCCCCTAACTGAGATGGCTCAATGCCCTGTTCTCAGTCACCTGCTGGAGCTCAAAGGATCATTTCTCCCGCAGTGTTAACTGCCAGCTGCACGCCTTGGGCAAGAAAACAGTCTTGGGAAGAGGATGGCAGAGCAGCGGCGTGAAATCTGGTTTTGGCGGTGCCTCTCCAGCCCACAGAGTTGTTCTGGGAATGTTTCCATTCATGCGGTAGCCTCTGTTGTCACATGGGTTCTAACCGGCTTTGCTTCCCAGAGATAGAAAAGGAGCACAGAGCAGCCGAGCTGAAGGCAGAGGGAGCAGGAAGCATCCTCTGAGGAGAGCAGCTGGAGCCAGGCAGTTCCTACCCAACTCCCTTGTGAGGCCCACTCCCCTCTTTGTCCTTGGCCTTCAGGAGGCCTTGGCCATCTGCCCAAGAATTCTGCACTCCCCCCTTCACCCCCACACCCACACACCCCTTGCCTGTGGTAGAGTGTCTGCTTTTTGCTAAGTTGTTATCAAGTTCAGCTAAGACCAAACCTTTCTCTAAAAAGTCTGCAAAAAAAAAAAAAACCTTTCCCATAGCAGAAAGAATATACACTTAGAACATTTTGAGAACTATGAAGGGAACCAAAGAACTTTAAGGGCAGTAAAAAGGATCCAAGTAAATGAAAAGAGAACATGTTCTTGATGAGAAGAGTGAGCGCTATAATGATGTCAGTTTAATGCAATCTCCATGAAAACTCTAATGGGAAGATCTTGCCATTTAACAAGTTGATTTAAAACTTCCTCTGGAGGGGCTGGAGTGATAGCAGATCGGGTAGGGCGTTTGCCTTGCACGCGGCCAACCAGGGTTCGATTCCCAGCATCCCATATGGTCCCCTGAGCACCGTCAGGGGTAATTCCTGAGTGCAGAGCCAGGAGTAACCCCTGTGCACCGCCAGGTGTGACCCCCCAAAAAAAGGAAAAAAATACTTCCTCTAGAAAGGCTGGAGGGGTAGTAGAGTGGGTACTGTCCTTTGTCCTGTACCAGCTGTCCCAGGCATCCCAGATGGTCCCCAGAGCACCACCAAGAGTGATCCCCAAGTGTAGAGCAAGTAATAACCCCTGAGCATTGCCGGGTGTGACCCCAAAATAAAAAGCAACATAAAATTCATCTGGGAGACTAAACATGTGAGCAGAGCTAAGCTGTTTGGAGAATCAGGGGGATGAGGAAAGTCACCCCAGGGACCTTGACTTTCCAGATAGCAAAATGTCCCAGAAAACCACAGAATCCAAAGCAAATGATACAAAAAGATACTTTTTGCTTTGTTTTTGAGCCATATCTGAGATACTCAGGACTTACTCCTGACTCTGTGCTCACAGATTACTCCTGGCTGTCCTTGGGGGACCATATGGGTGCCAAGGGACACACCAGGGTCAGCCACATGAAAGCACCATAACAACTGGACAATCTCTTGGGTCCTAAGACTCATTTTGATGCATCAGTGAAACTGCACAGAAACAGCTGTGAATCCATAGAATTTTTTTAACTATCCATGAAGAGTTGATTTTAAATGGCACAAGTGATTACTCAGTGATTTGGAAGCATTCAGTTGGGTTCACCTAGAAAAAGCTAAACTCCTTCACTTACACCATATACTTTAAGTTCCAGAATGATTAAAGAGGTAAATATTTCTTTTCTTTTTTTTTTCTTTTTGGGTCACACCTAGTGATGCTCAGGGGTTACTCCTGGCTCATGCACTCAGGAATTGCTCCTGGCGGTGCTCAGGGGACCATATGGGATGCTGGGAATCGAATCTGTGTTGGCCATGTTGGCTGCATGCAAGGCAAACGCCCTACCCGCTGTGCTATCGCTCCAGCCCTGGTAAATATTTCTTAAAGATAAAATCTACTATTTTTTTTCAGTCCAAAGTGTGAATTCATGTCTTTAAAAAGTTATTTTCTTTTTATTTCAGGGGCCACACTTAGCAGTGCTAAGAAGACACTCCCAGCCCTGTGCTGGGGTGGGGGGCAGGGTGGGGTGACTCCCTGCTGTGTTCTGTGACTGGGCAGTGCCAGGAATCCAGCCCTGATCTCCTGCATGCAGCACATACCCTCAGTCCAGTGAACTCTCTCTCTAGCCCTGTTAATTTTTCAAAAATCATGTAAGGCCATTCCAGAGAAAAAAGAATCATTATCTTTAGAAAGCAATATAAGATGGAACCAGCTATTGCTTAATTCTTTGGGGTTTGATTTTTTTGGGGGGAGATCAGTGGTATTTTTTTGGTTTGGGACCACATCCAGCTGTGTCCTCAAGGTCTTCCTTAGCTCTGGGCTTAGGCCCATAGCTCCCAACAGAGCTCGGGAGACCCTGTGAGGTGCTCAAGATTGAACCCAGGTCAGCTGCGTGAAAGACAAGCGCCCCTGCCCACTGTACCGTCTCTCTGACGCCTCTTGCGAGATTCTTTCTTGCCATCGTTATGTTGTGTGTCTTGGAGAAATGCTGTGACCTCCATGCTCTGAATTTATGAACACGCCTCTAAGTGTCAGTTCCCCAGAGTAATGCTCCGCCCACAATCAGAAATGTGCAGCTGGAGCTTCAAGCCCAGGACTGAGACTGCCCAGCAGATCACCGAGTCCTGGAGCCCAGCTCATCTGCTTCAGTCTCCACACACTTGCCAGGGTGTGAAGAAGAGAAGCAGCTGTCTTACAACATCCTGCCACCCTTTCCTCCAAGGTAATGGTGGCAAAACGCTGGGCACAGAATAAGGAAGGCTGTGCCGATTACTCAAGTGGTCAATTTCCACGGAGAAATCCTGGATCAGTGTGTCCCAGTTTATGTCCTGAAAACAATCCGTTAAACAGGCCCAGAAATGCTCTGTACTCTGTCCTCCACACTTCCCTCCCACGCTATTGCCCAGACGTAAGCTCACTCTCTCCTTTCCATCCCACCTTGGATCACTCACTTCCACCCAGTTTACCAGGTTCCCAAGGTTACTGTCTCATCTCC